AAATAGATTCGCGGTACAAAGGTCCCCGCGAATTCCGCGAATCTAAATATACCGCGGAAATTTGTAGACTTACAGTATAATATGAAGTAACATACAACTAAAACAACAGTTGGATAGCTATTCCCTACTTTATTGGTTAGGATTTTTAATTGCATAATGCAAACTGTTGATTTTACAAAAAAAAAAAACGTTCATGCCCCGCATTCCAATGCTGGAGCAGAAAAGCTTGAAATACCTACCAAAACACTTGAATAAAGACATACTGTCAGTATGGAAATGCTCTGTGCAGGTGTTAATCAAGTTAAATCCCAACAGCCAATCAGCAAGAAGTATAGAGGAAAGCTGCATGCCTATTGGTTGATGCCCTGCATTCCATTGTGATGACTCATGCCCAAACGTGGTAAACACGGCACACTAACACAGTAATACATTTGCTATAACACAGCCAAAAAACTCAAATAAAACCATTCTAAAAGCCTGTATCACAAAAATTTAAAAAACGCCTAGGGGTATTTGCCCACTGTACCGAGATGGGGTTTTGTGCGCGTGAAAAATTTGCGCGCGCGTGAAAAATTTGCGCGTGAAAATATGCAAATTAGCCGATTCCCAAGGGATTTAAAAACTTTTGCTGTTTTGGACTTAAAAATATAGATGAAAAGTCATAAAATAGAATTGAGTATCATATTATCACATTCTAGAGTACATAGCCTTGTTTTGTAAACTTTTCAGTGACTTTTAGGTGATTTTCAAAGTTCAAGTTTTCACGCGCAAAAAAGTTTGAAATTTGCGCGTGAAAGAAACTGCTTCATAAAATGCCAAATCAAGCTTATAGAATGGAGAAAAGCCTGGACTTGTTAAATTTAACAATACAAAACCTTGTATTAGTAACTGTTCCATGTATTTCTGGCAAATTCAAGTAATTTTTTAATTTTAATGTTTCTTGGAAGATATGCAAATTAACCTATTCCCAAGGGACCTAAAAATTCAAACCGAAATTTCAGGTTGTAGATGGAAAATCATGTTACAGGGTAACATTTTTCTGCATTAGAATTTGGTACTGCATATTTTCTGACATTTTCAAAGGACTTTAATTTTTCACGCGCAAATTTTTCACGCGCGCGCAAATTTTTCACGCGCAGAAAACCTTAGGCCCTAAAATGAAGAAGCTGAATCCATTTAAAAAATGGCAGGAGGAGAAGGAGGAGAAGAAGAAGAAGAAGAAACATCAGAAAAAGCAATATGGGTTCACCACCACTTCGTGGTGTGGTGAACCCATAAATATATCTATGGCAGTATTAGGAACTGCGTACTTAACTTTCAATTTCTTGTTATTTGAGTTTCAAGGCTTGTTTTGTCTTATCAGAAAAATGAAAGTCCTTCATTTCTCCCATGCCCTTGACATTGCCTCAGTCCCCTACAACAGACTACAGAGTAGGGTATTGGCTTTGCCCCCAAATAGAAAGTAATATTACAGTCAAGTTGAAAGGTTCTTTCAATGTCATCTATCACCCTTGGCACTCCTATCTATATTGGTTGGTAATCCAATAAGTATGCCCTAGCATCAAGTAAGCTGAGTCAATAAGGTAAGGAGGCGGGGAAACAAACAATATTCATCCTCATCGTAGTAAACACCATTTCAAACATACATATTTCATACTGACAAGGCTATTATCATAATTCATTGATGATTGGTAACACTTTGTTCAGAGTAAACCTAATGACTTACGGATTGCAGATAATTCTCTACACTTTCTTTTTCAAATGGAATTTATTCATTGGTATTCTACGCTTGTAACCAGAACTTTCTGTTCATGCACCTGGTAGAGGCTGTATTGATATCAATAAAGTCATAATAAATGAATATGGTATTTTCTAGCCTGTGAAAATATATCACAATGTCAGATGAATTTCATGCGCCCGTAGTATCATCATTCTCACCATATGAGTCATGACATGCATGTACTGAGGGGCTGTAGTAAGGCTAGTCTTCTCGATGTTTCTCTGTAGGTTTGTGCATTTTTTTCTGTCATATGTCCAAACTCAGCCTGCTTTCCTCAGAAATGCTGGTGAGCATTTCCATCTATATTGAACAGCAATTCTTAAAACTCAAAAGAAATCACAGAAAACCCTGCTAAATAATTAGACAGGAATAGAAAAATTGTGGGGAAGGCAGCGACTTAGTGCAAGCAAAAAATATTGGTTGTAGTTAATTGGTTGGATGTCTATAGGCCATTTTAAATGTTCCATACGCATATGATTTGTGTGCAACTTTACAAGATAAAAAGGAGCGTATTCTAAAACTGCCATCTTGCCCTTATAAAACAAGTTTATCCCATTCCTGGTCACAAAGGCCTGTCTTCCTGATGCATGTTACTGCAGGTGAGGTACTGGTCCCAGGAGACCTGGGAGAGTTGTACTACATCACATACAGCTGACCCAGCTAGGCATGCCTACATCCCTGAAACTGATGGATTTACTGCAAAATCATATTTTGCTTTTTAAGAGCTGCATACCCAAATAAGAATTTCAAACAGACACAAAATGTACCACATTCAACAATGTAAATATAGTGTAATTGGCATAGCAATAGCAATATACAGTACATGGCATAGCAATATAAATACCAAATAAATTTGGCCCGTAATGAGATACCCGGTTCCTGCAAATAACATTAATTACCATGACAAGATGAGTTTTCCACATGACATTTCTGCCTACTTATGAATTCAATTTTACGAGGCTGCCTATTCAAACTTGAGAGATATCACAAAGCCATTAATCAATCAATATACGCTGTACGGTACCCAATCAACATATTACAGGACCGCAATTTTAATAAGTGGGCTTGGGAGGGAAGATTATAATTCTTCATCAATTATGAGCTGATATACACTAGGTTCCTGCTTTGATGAAGAGAAAGGGAATACATGATTATCTTCTATCTCTCAAGGGACATGCATTATACCATTAGAATGAACTACCATATTACATCAGGGGTCGAAATAGATTTTGGGGCCAACTTGCACTGGTGCAAATGAAAAGAAAAATACTTGCACCGGAAGAAAAATAGTTGCACCCTCCAAAAATATAGAAGTGATGGGAAACATCCGCTGGCAGCGACGTAGATAGTAACCTTCTGTTACTTACAAAAAATGAAGAAAAACTTCATGGATTCTGGTTTTGTTCCTTTCCACTCCAGTTCTTTATCAATTAATATTATTGGGTAATTCTACAGGTAGTAACAGTGGATAAAGCAAACTTGCACCATGGTGCAAGCAGGCAAAAAATTAGTTGCACGACACCAAATTTACTTGCACCAAGTTGCACACAGAGGGTTATTTCGACCCCTGTACATGTAGTATGATGTACTGTTTTTTTCCTTACAGGAAAAGCTATCATATCAGTACACCCTACACACCCTATGCATGGTTGAAGTTGATGAAGGATATCCAATGAAATATTCCATGTCATAGAAAAATGGGTCATCAAATATCCAATATACATAATATGACAGGAAACCCCCTGAGGATACATATTGGCAAGTTGGCAACTGTTAAGCCCTGAGCAACAAAATTGTTATCCTATGCAAAAACTAAAAAAAAAAAAGTCAAAACACAAATAAAGAAACTTGATTTTCCTTATTTACATATCAATTCTGATGCTCATCTATATACAGGTTACACTTGTCTTTTGACTAATGTTTAACTCCTCAGAGAATTTAATAATATCCATCCAGTTGCTTGATTTACAATTTGCACAATTCAAGAGAATTTTCATAATTCTCCAGGGTGACAGATAAGTTTTGGTTCAATATAAGAATTAGATTGGTTCAATATAAAAATTCAATCCCTGAGTCATCGTTCAAACTCTACATACTAGATTCCTCCATTTTGGTTTGGTTTTATTTTTGGCACAATCGGTGACAACCCACACAAAAGTACTGAACAATTAATGAACTGCTGGTTATTGAATTCACCTTTGTCTACTGAATAGAAGTGTGATAGACAGTCTGTCATGTGTACAATGTAGGTAACCTTCGTACTCCTGGCTTTCGCCAGAGGTGAGAATTAATGGAGTACGAAGCTTCATCTTATGCAAATTAGCGTCACAGCTGCGATGGGACATGAATAGGCCAGCTGCGACCATTGNTAGCTGATTACTGCTCAGGAAGACCGGATCCCTGGCCTCATTACCACTAATACAAACTGACAATTTGCCCATAAAGCAATGACAGATATGCCACCTTCTACTCCCCACAGAGACAATTAGGTAGGCTGTTATAGCTGAACTCAGGCTGGAAATGTAGGTTATTAAACATAGTGCTTGGCTGTCCCATTAGTAACATTACTTAAAGCCCCTGCTCTGACAAACTACTGGTAATTCTACAAGTACAATGTATACAAAAGGGATACATTTCACTGTAATTTTGTCCTGGAGAGTCCTTTGTTTTGTCCTACTCCATACAAGTTTTGGAAGAATACTTGCAACATCAGATGTTTACCTCTGATCATTAATGGAGCAATGGCAAGTAGTAGTAGAAATACTCTGTTAGACTACATTGAAAAATGCAAAACAAAAGCACCAGGGTGAAAACAATGGAAAAGCAGATTTTTACGATGTATTTTCTTTAAGATCAACAGATAGACTAATACCTGTAAATTTCATTCCTTCTAATTCTACATCTGCATGGAGAATTTGCCCTTTTGGTTCTCAAACTTCTAAGACAGATTCAGTAATTTGTTGCACTGCCAAAACTTCAGTTATGCATGCAATGTAAAAAGCGGGCCAAGAGCGAAGTTTCAGCAATGAGCGGTAATTAGCAGGCTTGGCGATAAAGGCTTGACTGTAAATTACCAGATCAACCTGCCAGCAGAAGGTAAGTAGGCTAGCAATCTTCCCGTTCATCCCGGGGCTGTACCTGCCATGTCGCAGTAAACTGTCTACCAGGAAACAGATCCAGAGTTTTACAACTGGCGGGGTAAAGCCGTAGGATTGTGGATTCACGTCACACGGAAGATCAGCGGATCTACGAGGAGCGGGGCACAAAATACTCACCTGTAACATGCAATTTGCAAAAGGCGATAAAGGGACAGGAGATGGAAACATCCCATTCCGCAGGCCAAGAAGTAAGGCAGGATGTTTGCAACTCCCATGAACCGGCATCTACCTTCAATTCTAACATACAAATTCATTTCAAGTATTTTGATTTTTCCACAAAACGAAAGACAAAAACTGTGTTTGAAATAAATATAGCAGTACTAGGAACTTACTTAACTATTTCTGCATACTTAACTTTCGATTTCTTGTTACCCCTGGTATTTGAGTTTCAAGGCTTCTTTTGTCTTATCAGAAAAATGAAAGTCCTTCATTTCTCCCATGCCCTTGACATTGCCTCTGTCCCCTACAACAGACTACAGAGTAGGGTATTGGCTTTGCCCCCAAATAGAAAGTAATATTACAGTCAAGTTGAAAGGTTCTTTCAATGTCATCTATCACCCTTGGCACTCCTATCTATATTGGTTGGTAATCCAATAAGTATGCCCTAGCATCAAGTAAGCTGAGTCAATAAGGTAAGGAGGCGGGGAAACAAACAATATTCATCCTCATCGTAGTAAACACCATTTCAAACATACATATTTCATACTGACAAGGCTATTATCATAATTCATTGATGATTGGTAACACTTTGTTCAGAGTAAAACTAATGACTTAGATTGCAAATAATTCTCTTTAAGTTCTTTTTCAGATGGAATTTATCTATTGGTATTCTACACATGTAACCAGAACTTTCTGTTCATGCACCTGGTAGAGGCTGTATTGATATCAATAAAGTCATAATAAATGAATATGGTATTTTCTAGCCTGTGAAAATATATCACAATGTCAGATGAATTTCATGCGCCCGTAGTATCATCATTCTCACCATATGAGTCATGACATGCATGTACTGAGGGGCTGTAGTAAGGCTAGTCTTCTCGATGTTTCTCTGTAGGTTTGTGCATTTTTTTCTGTCATATGTCCAAACTCAGCCTGCTTTCCTCAGTAATGCTGGTGAGCATTTCCATCTATATTGAACAGCAATTCTTAAACTCAAAAGAAATCACAGAAAACCCTGCTAAATAATTAGACAGGAATAGAAAAATTGTGGGGAAGGCAGCGACTTAGTGCAAGCAAAAAATATTGGTTGTAGTTAATTGGTTGGATGTCTATAGCCCATTTTAAATGTTCCATACGCATATGATTTGTGTGCAACTTTACAAGATAAAAAGGAGTGTATTCTATAACTGCCATCTTGCCCTTATAAAACAAGTTTATCCCATTCCTGTTCACAAAGGCCTGTCTTCCTGATGCATGTTACTGCAGGTGAGCTACTGGTCCCAGGAGACCTGGGAGACTTGTACTACATCACATACAGCTGACCTAGGCATGCCTACATCCCTGCAACTGATGGATTTACTGCATAATCATATTTTGCTTTTCAAGAGCGGCATACCCAAATAAGAATTTCAAACAGACACCAAAATGTACCACAACAATGTAAATAGTAATTGACATAGCAATAGCAATATGCATAGCAATATAAATACCAAATAAATTTGGCCCATAATGAGATACCCGGTTCCTGCAAATAACATTAATTACCATGACAAGATGAGTTTTCCACATGACATTTCTGCCTACTTATGAATTCAATTTTACGAGGCTGCCTATTCAAACTGAGAGATATCACAAAGCCATTAATCAATCAATATACGCTGTACGGTACCCAATCAACATATTACAGGACCGCAATTTTAATAAGTGAGCTAGGGAGGGAAGATTATAATTCTTCATCAATTATGAACTGATATACTCTAGTAGGTTCCTGCTTTGATGAAGAGAAAGGGAACACATGATTATCTTCTATCTCTCAAGGGACATGCATTATACCATTTAGAATGATACATGTAGCATGATGTACTGTTTTTTTTTTTACCTTACAGGAGAAGCTATCATATCAGTACACACCCTATGCATAGTTGAAGTTGATGAAGTATATCCAATGAAATATTCCATGTCATATGAATGGTTATATGAATGGTTTATTTCAGTTGATACCTCGCAGCCACTTGGCTGAATTACGTACAACTTACAAAATGTCTCTAATTGAATCACATCCAAATTATAAGTGTTACACAGATTACGATAATTTACGGAAATTGTAGACTAAATTTGCGATAATTCCACATATGATCAATTTCTTTCAAAAAGTCAAGTATTAAGAGCAGACAAATTCAGTATCAATTAGTTTTAAAATCTAAAATACTACACACATTTCATTAAGAGAAGTGGCATTAAAAGTAGTAGGGAATCCTTAATCATTTTCTTTGAACATTTCGATATTTAAAAAGACAACAACAATTTCGATTACTACTAGTTCTAAAATCAAACAACTACGCACATTTCATTGGGAGAGTGGCATTGAAAGGATTAAAGATTGCAGGAGAATTCTGGACAAGGAAAATCGGTAGTATTTAGCTCTATTAACAGCTATTGAGTAATCTTGTTAGGTACGGAATGGGGGAGTCTCTGTATCTCTTAGTTTTGCACTTAATAGTTCTTAGTTTGTCAGAGTTCCTGGTGGTGATGCCGTGGCTGTCTCCAGTTCTCGGTGGGAGCATTTCTGGGCTCAGGTTTCTGGCAAATTTTAGGCACAGATCCACCCGTCGTTCTTGGAGCGACTTCAGGCCTGTGTTGAGCAGAGCGCTCTTGTAGTCGGTGTAGTTCATGCCAAGAATGGTTCGTAGTGCTCTCCTCTGGATTCTTTCTAGTCTCGTGGTTTGTGTTGCTGTGAGACCAGAGTGCCACACTGGCACACAATACTCTAGCACTGATCTGACGTAGGTTATGTATATTTGTAGTAGGTCCTCAGTGGATAGGCTGAAACGTTTGATTTTTCGTAGCATGGCCAGCCGTCCGTTAGCCTTGTTGATGGTCTTGTCTACGTGCATATCCCATTTTAGGTTCTTTTGGATCCAAACCCCAAGGAGACATGTGGCACAAACTACCTCTAGCTGCGTTTGGTTGATGGTGAGGACTGGAAGCGGGGGTGGATATTTCATAAAGCAGATTACCATTGCTTTGCATTTGTCCGGGTTTAGCAGCATGTGGTTGTGAAGGGACCAGTCTTGAAAGTTGTTTAGCTCCATTTGCATCACTGAAGGTTTGTTGTATCTGTGTGATTCCGCCAATGATAGATCATCATGTCATAGAAAAATGGGTAATCAAATATCCAATATACATAATATGACAGGAAACCCCCTGAGGATACATATTGGCAAGTTGGCAACTGTTAAGCCCTGAGCAACAAAATTGTTATCCTATGCAAAAACTAAAAAAAAAAAAAGTCAAAACACAAATAAAGAAACTTGATTTTCCTTATTTACATATCAATTCTGATGCTCATCTATATACAGGTTACACTTGTCTTTTGACTAATGTTTAACTCCTCAGAGAATTTAATAATATCCATCCAGTTGCTTGATTTACAATTTGCACAATTCAAGAGAATTTTCATAATTCTCCAGGGTGACAGATAAGTTGTATTGGTTCAATATAAAAATTCAATCCCTGAGTCATCGTTCAAACTCTACATCCTAGATTCCTCCATTTTGGTTGGGTTTTATTTTTGGCACAATCGGTGACAACCCCACACAAAAGTACTGAACAATTAATGAACTGCTGGTTATTGAATTCACCTTTGTCTACTGAATAGAAGTGTGATAGACAGTCTGTCATGTGTACAATGTAGGTAACCTTCGTACTCCTGGCTTTCGCCAGAGGTGAGAATTAATGTACGAAGCTTCATCTTATGCAAATTAGCGTCACAGCTGCGATGGGACATGAATAGGCCAGCTGCGACCATTGTAGGCTTGAATAGTGCCCAGACAATTCACCTGGGGACTTCTGCAAATACCTGTGGTCATAGCAAGGCACACCTGTAACCATTCAAAACATGTGGAACACACTCACTTCAGGCTGAGTTGGGAATTCTACTTATCTTAATTGTTTCTTGTCATCTTTTCTTCCTCAAGGCAACACAAACTTTGCAGGACTCTTTTTGAATAAATATCAATGCCATAAGCTTCCTCCAAGGCTTTGACCTTGAGAAGAAAACAACAAAACTGAAGTGGAGCATGTTATGTCAATCACTACCTTCAAAATCAATGGTACATACATATGTATATGACATTATCTGATGTACATTTATCTGCATTGACATTTTCCAACTCCACCCACTACCCTTCCTACATGTGGCTTGGCTCTAACTGTCATGCAGAGTACATAATCCCTGTATTCTGTCAAACTAGACAAGTCTGAGCCTGGACAAATATTGGTATATTATATACCAGCAGAGAACTGGAAAACCAGCACACCAAAATTTTGACAAAACCTATACTTACCAGTTGTATTTTTTTAAAGCTTATAATATCATCCCAATAACAGGTTAATCAGAAACATGGGCAGGATATGTCCATATCATACTACATGTTCCCCTAATGAGATATTTTAGATCTTATCAATTCTTATCCTCAGCTTTTCTTTTGAGGATAATTTCTGCCTCAGGGCAAATTGCAAAAGAGACTCAATAAGATACTTCATATGTGCCCCATATAGGTCACTGTAACTACAGAAAATGTACTGAAAAAGGAGCTGACTCATGAAGCAAGCACTAATTCCATTGATAATTTACAAACTATTGTACTAGCGAAACAAACACACAAATGAATCTTCCAGTTCTTTGGACATTACGTTATTTCCTGGCTATTCTCCAACCCAATCCTTCTTTCCACAGCTAAAAATGTCCCTGTTGCATGTCTGTGTATTATATACTCTAAGTCTAATCATAAATTGAGAAAATCCTCTTCCTTCCAAAAGAGCTAAGGTTACTAGTGTGCTTTCAATTTAGGGTTTGTAGTCTTATCCTAAAATCTCAATAGTGACTAGCTGTTGACAGGGGAATTCAGGCTGGTGACAGTTGCTGGGGGCAACACCACCCTTCCTGTTGATTATCTCCATGGCAACTGGCCTGGGCAGGAAGGGGTCTTGAGGACAACAAAACAGCACATGAAAGGTTGAAGTTTTTGAGGGAAAAGAGAGGACTTCAGTGGCAGGAAAGTCTCTGTTTTTAGGCCAGCAAATGCTGCTCTATGATACTACAAGGACTGTCTGCTATATGTGTATGTAAGACCATACAGACATGTGTGTAGAAAATAAAGTAAAGATCCCCAAAAAAGTTTACGGGAACAAAATGCTAGCTAGTGGACCAAATGTAGACACAAAACAAAAATTTACTTTCTCATACTCCCTCCATATTTCCTTTCTATCAGCTGGCATGCATGGGTGTCATTACTCAAATGCTCCAAATTCCTTACAATTTTGAACTTATCTAGTGAACAATGCATAAAAACTGAACAGCAAGGATTGTGTATACATGTACATGTATATGCTTCAAGAGTTTTCCTCATAATTAATTTGTCAAACATTCACTAGTACCACACTTTCAAGGGTCAGAATGCCCCCAGTTTGACCCAGAGACCTCTAGCCTAGGCCTGTCCCCTAGTTTCATGCCCAACCTAATCCTGAGCTTGGGTGGCTCTACAGAGTTACATACATGTACACAGTGGCTTTACAACATTAAAGCTTTCAATCCAAGCCAGCCAAGTGTAGAATTAGTTCCAGAGTTCAGCACTACTTAACAGGACTACATCACTTATCTGTTGGCATAGGATTGCCAAAACACAGGCTACACTGCCATCTAAATTCTAACATCACACAAACACCTGGGCTGAATCACTTAAAGTTACATACAACAAAATCAAATACCGTACCGGGGTACTTCCACATAAAATTATTTCTATTCATTACTATTCGCTCAGTGTCCGTGATACTTTATAGCACTGTTTTTACTGCATTCTTGTATCAGCAACTGATGCACTGACACATTTTCTGCCTTCACTTTATTGGTGAAAATCCTCTTAAGTCCTTGTAGTAATCTGCACTTAACAGGTTTGTTTTTACGCAAGCCAGCAACAATAGCCAAAACAGGCTTTCACTAGTGGGTGTCATAATGTCTACAGTGGGTACGTGAGAAAGCCCCAACATGAGAGATTGCAAATAAAGAGTGGATACGTAATAGCAGTCATAACAAAAATGGAACCTCTAAATTTGATACGCGGGGAAACTAAATACCACAAAAAGAACGTCATGAAGATTTTTCAAAAATTAAAAGCCCTGGTAACTGATACAAAATGATGGAAACATGATCTGATACACACTGGAGCTAATCAGATTTAATAGAATAGGTTTGGCAAGTTTTGAAATCTCCTGGCAGTTTGAAAGGAAACAAAATCACTCAAAAGCTTTTTGGGCAATACATATATCTCTCTACTTCTCCATAATCAGTAGGAAGGCTTTAATTCATGAGTGAGGAAGACACAAAGCTAGAGTGGAAGACACAATCTGTTGTGGTCTGTACCTGATCACTTGAGGCAGTGGTTACATCTACCTGACAAATCTAGAGTGTGCAAATAAGTCTACAGTACTACAGTCTTTGGTTCCTGTCCAAAGAAGGTTATGTTGTCTCAGGACCTCACATGAATAGAAAGCTACAACACAAGCACTTGGGTTCTTCAAACTGAACAGGTGTCCAGCACTAACAATGAGGAGTCTTCAGACTTGTGACCACCCTCATTAACTTTTCATCTTGAGAAAACAACAACAAATGTGGGATCATTAGTCCAGCTTTAGGGACAAGCTGCACTTTCATTTTTCCTCCTGAGAAATGGTACCATTCATTGTGAGGATGGTCTTTCATACAATACCAGGACCTAGAAAATTTGGAATCACTTTGTACAAAAAAGAATTAAATATGGGCATATGACAAGCACGCTGACTGCAATTCAATTTTTTTATTAGAAAAGTGACCCACCCTCCCAATATTCCAATTAGTAAAGCGACCTACCGTCCAGAATATCCATGAAGCAGACGTTTCCCGCGGCGTTGAAGGCGAGCGTTTCCGGGGTGATACAGAGCGTCTGGAACAGGTCCGACATCTCGATGCTGCGCAGCGCCGTGCACGTCTCCCTGCAGATGGCCCACAATTCCTGCTCCGACAGGCACTCGTCCCGCAGCGCCAAGATGTCAGCCAGCGACACATTCTCCTCGTCTTCCAGCAGCGTGGGGAGGATGTCGTACTCGTAGTCGTCAAACATTCCAGCCATGGTGGCCGCCAAGTTCAGGATGAAGCTGAGATCTCCTCCCTTTGTGTTTGTGTTTACATGTGTTTCTGTACACCTACTTAGTCACGCTTTCCAGTCAGCCATGAAAACAGTACAGACATGACTCGCCACGTTTTATTCTTTTGACTTTGAAAGCTAAACTAGAGTATCCACAGGCCACACCTTGGAAAACAAATGGATGGTGGATCCTGAATTCAGCCTTACATGTTGGCTACCTCTATCCACCTTGGTTGATCAGTTTACACTATGTGTAGTGTTGTACTGCAGATTGATCAATGTAAACTTCTTTCATTATCTATGGTCGTCGCACACATTCTTGAGTTTCATATTCAGTCCCCCTGGTCCGTGACATTCCACTTGGCTTGGGTTGCATACCTGTCAGATGACCACAGGTGACCTCGCCTTCAGACTAGTACACCTGTCCAGCACACCTGTAGTGGTATGGGAGGAAATAATCAGTAATACAAATCACACATAAGGTCAAATTTAAGCACTATCAAACATATTCTTCAATGTAGATTCTTGATAAAGATATAGTCCATGATTTTGGCTGCTACCTTTTGTTTAGTATTTTGTTTCAGGTGATACACCTGTAACTCAAACTTGTACCTGACAAAACACCTGGTGATGGAATACACTAATCAGGGTCACCAGGTAACAACTAACTCACTAACACACTAGTGACAGGGCATATTGATGATAAAAATGTATCATCCTAATTGTTACTTCTCCTTAGCTTTAGGCTTCTCCTCAAGTACAAAATGACTGCGAACAAGCCCCATGTTCTGTTGCCATTAACTAGTTTCCAGACGATTTTTGTGTTGCCCAAATCGTCTTGCTTCCTGTCTTGGCCATTTTTATGGGCCAACTGTCATGACATAGTATATGTGGAGTATAAAACGGCCAACACGCCTTACTTCTGAGTAAAACGACTGTTGATCTAATGCTTGTGTAACAGAAATGAGAGCAACAAAATATTTCTATGGTCCATATACTATTTGTACGAGGTGCGGGGTTGCAGACGACTTCACGTTGTTATGAATATGAAAGGCGCTGCAGACGACTAACTGTTCCCTCACTCAACCGTGCGATCAGGTCAGCCCTGCCTGGTTATACTCAGTCACGTCAACGATATACAAACAACTTTCACTACCACTAGGATAAATATGTGTTAAGATAAAAAGTTAACACCCACCTCATTATCAGTGAAAGCTGTTTTTGTCGAGGATTATAATAGCGGGCATGCATGGGTCGCGCTTCGACTTGTCTAGCTGTGGCATGGGGTAACTACGAGGTGCTGTTCTGCGTTGTTACGCCCGTTTCCTGTCCAGCCGACGACCCCAGGACATAGCAACACATTCACAAACCGCCTACACTGCCTGTGGCGCAGAGAAAGGTGGTGAAAAGTGCTCTTGTCGCATGTTATGCCGGCAGAATTCCTCGGCCGAGCGCGAGCAAACTTGAATCGCGGCGGTTGTGTACACAGGAAGTCCGGCCTGCCAAGCTAGCTGGAAACCGGACACCCACCGCATTGTGGGTACTTTGAGGGTGTGCAAGGGAGATTGATGTGATAAAATTCAGATAAATGCATGAATAACCCTGGCTAACGTTTTATACTTGGGCCAATATCAGTCGCATTGGAAGTGAAAAATATTTTGCAAGTTCATCTTTCCTAAAAAATCAAATAAAAATCCACACAAAACATTATGCTACTCGGAGTTTTATAAAAACTCTACAGACCAGAAACCTTGACCAAACTGAGTAAGACATAACTATTGCAATACGATTATTTTGGGATTTCATACTTAGTCGTTGATATTCCTGCAAATACAGGCATTCTTGACAAGAGATTTCGATTTTCCATTCGGTAATACCCGTACCAGACTATATTTGCTAGTCTAGAAATATGCAATACTTTTTAGTTCCGCTAGATGACTCTTCAAGCTGAGTCAAAACCACTGGGGCGTGTCAGGGAGAGACGAGCCCTGCATAGGTTTATTGCGAGCCTGGGAAACAGAAACAAGTAGTTACCTCCGCCAAGAAAGTTATGTTTTCAGGACTGTTCGTCTGTCTGTGTGTGTGTGTGGTAGAAATTGTACTATTTTGGTCCCCTGTACGTGGCGACAGACAGCGGAACTTGGATCCACTCATTGATAGGTTATAAATGATATCTCAAGTTCTGGAAATACTGTGGCCATTTTTGGTGCTAGATAGCTCTTGTGCTCGGAAAGAAGTGACATAAGTTTGGACTCTCTGGTAGCTTTTTCGGGAGCCGGGAGGGGCCAGGAGGGGCCGGGAAGTTATATGATGAAGGATATACAGTAGGTCAAAAGGTCACGACACAGCAAAGAACGAACTAACTAAATTCGAACAATCGAATTCGAATAAAGAACCGGCAAGATTCTTTCATTCTCCATTTTTGCCACAGGAAGCTGTAGCGATAGGAATGGCGGATGTGACTTGGACGAGCCAGCGCCCTCATCATGCGCGGACCAGTAGTGCGGGTCACGCGGCTGAGGCTGACCACTGCTACGTCGGCACTCCCGAAGTGAGATGGACTCGGGAAAAGGATCGACATAGCAACAAGAAGTCCTACTTCACGCCGAAACAAAGCAAATCGGCAAGAAAATTCCATACTCCAAGGTCACTTCAGGTACAGAATGACAATTTTAAGGTCACAGACCTGTTTAAGATAAAAAATCAATACTATTTCGTCCTTAATGTGGTTTATGACAAGACACGTACAAAAGAACCGACGTGCGATTTATTTTGTGTCGAACTTTCTTCCCCCACGTTGCAGCTGAAGTTATCAGACATTTACGAAGGTATCGGCGCTGCTGACAACTTTCCCAACAAGCTCAAGAAACTGGTTGACAGTCCCGACTACAGGTTAGTAAAACACTTGAAGTCTTACACTGCTTGTCAACTTCAGCGATCAATTCTATATTTGAAATGAGCTGGCCACATTCGTCGCACGATTGTCGTGCGTTAGCAAGGCTGAGGGTTATTTTGGGGACAATACGCATGTGTAGTACAAAATTTAGACGTCTTGTTACCGAAAAAGATTCTTGTCTGTGGTTGGTCCTGACTTCAAAACCGTACGACGCCACCGTGACGACGCCCTACATATACGGCAATGTTGGCCACCTAGCTAACCACAAAGAATAGACGAAGACGCGAGTGAGACTGCGCTGTAACAGCCTCAACAAACACACATCGCTCGGCAAACATACATACATACATGTACATATATGCACACACTGCAGGCGGTGCCGCATTTGTATTTGTATATAAGAGAACGTCGAGGTGCAACTTGAGGTGTATCATTTTTATCTTATAGCTCCATCGTCTGGGACCAAGAAGGTAAAGGAGTCGTCATCACGGAGTTGGACTTTCGTGAGGAAGTTCTAAATGAAACCTGTCACGTGTTCGAAACAACGAGCTTCAAGAGCTTCGTGAGGCAGCTGAACTTGTACGGCTTCCGGAAAAACGTTCCCGGCTGTGACAGGTCAAACAGTAAGGAGGTGAGGTCGGCAGAGAAATGTGTGGCACGGTGTGTGTGATGAGCAAAAAGGGAATGAGAGTAACCGGGGTCTTAGAAATCAATGAACATAAACTGAACTGAACTGAAATTAGGATAAAGCGTAGTTTTGAGAAAGACAAATACTTCATGGTCACGTATTATACAGTATCCAATAGCGATGTTTTGTAGATATGCTGCTGACTCCTGTTTCCTTCTGCAGGTGCACACCTTCTACCACAGGTTTTTCACCCGAGACAACACCGTTCTGTCCAGGGTCGTGCGCAGGAAGAACACCAAGACGTCTCCCCAGGACAACTCATTCGTCTCCACCGCCACTGGTATGACCCGCGCCCGGCGCATGACACACGCCTGTACTTGCGTTGTCCGTTTTGTCTCTAACTCGACTCTAACTGATGTAGATTACACCGGCCGGCTGTACTATAGAGGCTTCTCTGACCACATAATCCCACATGGACAATCTTTTGATAATTTTAATACGCAAAAATGTCCACAGTAGAATTTGATATTACTGAACAAAACACAACCAATTGCAATCTGCGCACTTTAACGAAATGTTTCATATTTTCTTGTCTTTCCTCATTGATATATATGCTGTCTACAGAACATTGTTAGTAAGTCGTATAACAACCATGTGGCAGTGATTAAAATGTATCTCAAATGATTTAATGAATTAATCGTCAGAACAGTTCTTTCTCACCCAGTAAACCCTTCATTACACCGTCTGTAGATACGCCTTCGGGCAGAAGTTTTCATCGTCAACAAGATATTTCACCTGAATATGAGAATGACCATCCTACACCGATCTACCGCGAGGACAGATGCCTTCCCTCCATGTCCCGTCAGTACCTGCCCATCTGGTCACCCGTGGCTCACCGTTTCCACCGTTATTCAGCGGCGACATCTACTGGAAAGCCTGAGAATAACACCAAGCGCACTCCCCTCGGCCGGCTCGACACAAATGCCTGGGTTTCACAATATGCCAACCAGCCCCCATGCCTACCTCCACGTCGTCTGTCTAAGTCTGCCGCTCTTCTCCAAAGCTGGTCCTGCGGTGAGGTAGACAGGGAAGGCCATCTAGCGGACAAACTTTATTACAGCAGGTACAGTAAATATCTCATTCTAACCCTTGTCCCGCTGGCATTTTTTTACACAAAATTTTCAAATAATTTGATGTCTTAACCAGGTTATAGTCCCTTGACTTTTTGGGCTAATACTGAGTTGCCTGCCTTAGGACCATTTTTGGTTCTATAACACAATAAGTCTGCCGATCATGCTACCTTACTTCAATTTCAATTTAAGTTCAATTCTAGCCGAATTTGAGCCTTTATATTTAATAGGTCATCTTCCCTTCTTCAGGTGTGCCGAAACCTCATCTGACAGTCTTAACGCTGATGCCGAACCTGACTTCTACTGGTCATCTAACGTCATCAGGTATGACGTACGACGCCTAGATGACGTCGAAGACGTCTACTCAACGTCGTTTCTAAGCAACGACAGTGACGTTAACCATGCCAACGTCGCCTTTGCTCTGGCGTCAGACGAAAGTCTCCTGAGTGACACAAGTTTCTTAAACTCCAGTGGTGAGATATCTCTGTGTTATCAACCTGCTCAACCAGGGGTGGATTACGTCATCCCCGCGACCTTAGGTGACCCTGACTCCATCACGCGGGAGGTGCTGGTCTCACTGCCCATGCCTGAACTCACAGATGATCAGGACAGGGCGCATGCGTGGCTGGTTTCCAAGGCGCGGGAAACTCTAGAGAAAATGGCTGACGCCTTGTAATGAGATGGTATTACATGTATGTCCTACCAGACTCAACAGCATATACGCATTGGAGACGATAGAATGTAACAATACTTTTGAGACGTCGATGGAAAGGTCCATTTAAAAACTAATTTATTGTTCGAGCTTCAACTTCCTAAGAATGCATTACATGTACTGAAGCTACTTGTGTTTGAAAAGCAAATAGACTTTTTTAGAATTCCTTAGAATGTCTCAAATACTAGTACATAAAACGGAATTTACTGCCAGGGTTGCGCAATACTTATATTTATTCAAAATGTAGTTATGTAATAGAATATAATGTAACTTTGATATATCATAACACTTTCAAATGCTATTGTATGATAATTTTGTATACATGATGCACGAAGCGCTTTTATGTGTGATGTATGCTGTTTATTGACAAATTGATATAATGAAATTATAGGAACTGAGTTTTGAAAGTGCCTGTTTGGTAGCGTTCGTTGCCGCTTTCCTTTTCTGTGGAATACTTTGTTATTTCCGGGCACGCAATCTGAAGCATTGTAGACTTCCGGCTTTGTTTTAAATCCTTCTTGCAAGACTAAAAGTTTAAATACTACTTTTCTCCATTAAAAAAATCAATTGTATCGGCAACTTGCCATTGGCTTTGAACCAGACAGCAGCTGCATAATACAACGATATTCTGGAAACTCTCAAGTACCCTCATGAGGTATCCCGATATGATCGTCTTCATTGTAGATTTGTAAAAGTTATGATTAATTTGATACAACCCAATAAAATCTTCTGTGCTGCTGCAACCGTGATCCGGCGACGTGATAATCTCTTGTTAGGTGAATTTTTTTTACTAAGTATCAAGGTCTTTCAGCTTTTTCTTTAACGGTAGCAACAGGCAACAGATGTCCGATAGTATCGATTTACACATTGTCACCTTTGGGAGGAATCGTCACGTAACTCATGTTACTGAGTACATGACAAAAGACAACTGCACTGTCAGCAGAGACTTTGTAACAACTCGTCCTGAATAACACTAGCTTGGAGAGCACCGTACTATCAGACAGAATCGAACACCCAGACGCACCAGGTAAGTGCTAACAATGTGTACTCCTGCATGTTATATCATTGGGGTCTCTTCACATTCGTCGCACTGTCGTCGTGCGATCGCAAACTGAGAACATTTTGGGGATCGTGGTAAACGTGTTACCGAATGGCTGTCTTATATCCTTGTCGGCAGTTGGTTCTGTCTGTTCTGTCACACCCTGCTTGCATGAAACGTCTTCGACACACGGCAAAATCTTACGACGACCTACGACGAATGTGACTGCACCGTTACAGGTTTTAGAGTGACTGGTAGCCTGTTTCCGTCCTGCAACATTATTGGTAGTGGCACTCTTCTACCTCCTTGGTGGTGAAGTAACCCAATGGAGTGATTCAATGAAGTACGTAACAGCTGTTTCAGTTTGTTAAAACATCAAGTCGCGGCCTGAAAGCCAACTCAGAATTTTCGTAGGAAGTCTGAACACCGTAATGCATACTTCTGTCCTACCCTCATAAGTACTAGATTCAGACTTCAGCCATGAGGGATGGAAAACACGTTCTAGAGAACACTCATAATATGCGGCGTCAGCAAGGATTATTCCGCTCATTCCGTGCTCCTTCCATTTGAGCTGTATTTTTAAATATTTCAGATTTTATTGAAGATTAAAAGAAACGACATTCTCAACCTACACGCAAGCCTGAACTATTATTCTACTTGCTCCGTCAGCACCATTGCCAAGATGCCCGGATGGAAAGGCCTCTTTATTCCCGCCATTCTACTGGTTCTAATCTTCATTGATCCCGTTGCGCCAGATGGTAAATATACTTAATACTAGTACCTCTTTCTCCTCTACTACGGAGAGACTAACAGCTGTTCATGACTTTAAAATGTACTTAGTCTGTGCATACACCGGTAAACAAGGAAGAAGAACATTTAGCAACTGGACAATTGCAATGCAGATATTGTAGCGGGGTGGTTTCGCTGAAATGTTAAAAAAAAACGTTCCCTGACTTTTGTCAGGTTTGATTACGACTTTGATCGTAGATTTCTAAGCCCGGTCACATCCTCATAAGCTAAGGCTGGGATAGTCTTATATATAACGCACGAAATCAATTGGCTTCTGTCACAGCCTGTTTTAAAATTCGTACGACGGTCTAGCTACGACAAAATGTGACGGAGCCGTACCTGCCCACATAACCCGTCTTGCTTAGAATGCTTCAGTACGTCCTATTGGAGACTTGCATTTCTTTCGTACGTAGCCATTAATAATATGACGCACTTTCTCCTCAAAGACACGGCCGTGCGATCTGACCTCCTGACTTTGATGACTACTATCATGGAGAACATGGT